TTTGAAATTTGAATTAGCATTCAATGATCTAGTTTTCAGTTGGCCTTTTATTCATTTCCTCTCTCTTTTTCTCATACAGAATTTAATCTGCTAGTGTTTTAATAGTTTTCCTCCCTTTCAGGAAGTACTGGAAAAAGTTGCAGTATCTGTTGCACTGTTGATGGTGATGAGCATTGGCTGTCATGCTGTACATAATGCTAATCCCTGCCCTGCAAGTTTTGGAGGTCTGTGTAGCTGTGGAATGGGATATTCCCCATATGATGGATTTAAAGAGAAGAAATATACTGTCAATTGTACAAACACAGGTTTTACAAATACTTCAATGCTTCGTGATTTGCCAGAGAAGTGAGTTATTATATGTATTATCATTAGGTAAAGTTGTAGTAATTTTAATGAGTATAAATAATCCAAATTATGTTTATATACAAATACAGTATAGTACTTAGTTTCAAAAGTGAATTTTGCCAAATGTATTCATCTTTACCTTTTTTTTTTTTTAATACACTGGCCATCTCCCACTGAGGGAGTTGTGACCTGTAAGAGGAAACACGTTCTCCATCATTTATTCAAATGCGGTCCTGCTTGAAGTGTGCTGACAATACAGTTCAGATGGCCCTCCGAACTGCAGCATCTCCACCCCTCTCTTAAAGTGCAGGCACTGTACTCCCCACCTCCAGGACTCAAGTCTGGCTAGCAGGTTTCTGCTGAATCCTTTCATAAATGTTACCTTGCTTAAACCTTAACAGCACATCAAATCATAAAAACTACTTGCATCCACTCACCCAGCTGTAACATGTTCACACAAGTCTGTTAGGTGTTTAAGCCCTTAGCACTCAAAATATACTTTATCCTATCCCTCAAACATTTCCTGAAATAACCCCCTACACCTCCTTCCATCCCAGATTTGTGTACCCTAATCATCCTATTTTGCTCCATCCTCTCCAAGTGTCCAAACCACCTCAACAACCCCTCCTCAACCCTCTGAATTACACTTTTGGTAACCCCACACCTTTTTTTAAATCTCCACACTCCAAATTTGTTGCCTGATATTCACACCACATATTGCCGTCATACACAACATCTTCAGTGCCTCCAGCATCCTTCTTGCTGCAATATTTGAAACCCATGCTTCACATCCATATGAGGAATTGCACAACATAAAGTGATAAGCCCCATTACATCCAAAATCTAGATTAGTGAATGAATTGAATCCTTAATGTTTTGTCTGTTTGTGGTAATCTGTTTGTAGTAATTTGGTACTAATGCTGTTCAGTTGTGCAGTGCTTCTTATAACAGTGTTGGTGATACAACTCTCTAGTACATTCTATCCTTTTTTCCTCCATGGATAAAGTTCTTTGTATCCACAGATGAATAAGTGTACCACCCATCTGTCCCTCGTTTATTGTTTGGTTCACCTTATCTTTCATAGACCTGTTTCCCAACAACTCCACTCACAACTGTCTGAACACATTTTCTTCATGCTCCCTCTAATCTGATACTCTTTCATTACCTAGATTTTTTGTTATTCTTATCACCTTGTTCTTTCCTATATTCAGTTTTTTTTTTTACATACCCTCCCAAATTCATTCACCAACTTTCATAACTCTTCTTCAGAATCTCCCAAAAGAACCTTGTCATCAGCAAAGAGCATCTGTGACAACTCCCATTTTGTATTAAATTTGTTATCTTTTAATTCCTAGCACCCTAGCATTCACTTCTTTTACAACCCCATCATTAGATATGTTAACTATGGTGACCTCATACATCCCTATCTAAAGCTTGCTTTAACTGGAAAATAATTCTCCTCTCTACTGCATACTGTAACCTCAGCCTCACTATCCACATAAAAAACACTGCTGCTTTACTAACTTGCTTCTTACTATGTACCATATACTACCTACTTCTTTACTGTATATCTCTGAATTCCATACGTTGCAGTTATCTCTCTAAGAATGGTGCCTTGATTTTTGTGATGAGCTCTTAATCCATGGAATTAGAGCTACCCTCCTCTTTCTCAAATCAAATGTGATCATCTCCCTAGCCCTCTCATTCCCCAAGATCTGTATATACTTGTTTTTTCTTTGCACTGCTTCCCTGTGCCCAGCAAGGAAATATTGCCCAACACTGAATGGTAACAGGAATGGGAACAAAAGTTCCTCATGGAAATTAGAGGAAACAAGTGTTGTGACAGAAACACAGGCCTTATCTCTAGGCTTTATTGAACATAGAATCTTCATAGTACTTCTGCAACAACAAAATATAATGACTAGTACATCTAATAACGGCTTCTACAGAGATGGTGATGTCTTGCATATGTCAAGAGAAAAGTTATAACTACAGGCCACATATTTAAACTCACCATGTAATCTGCATCACTAATATATGGATATAAGAGAAGAGAATCACACACCATGTGTTGGCGCCCATGACACACACCAAACTGTTGTTGTTGTTAAGGGCCCGAGAGGTGGTGCAGTATTATCCTGCTGCGCTCCCACAG